TTTCTTTTCATCGGGTCTCTGTACTCACCATGATGGAAAAGTGATGCGAAGTTGCGTTTTCTTGAAAGCTTTTGGAACTGACATATTTATCAGACGCCATCATCTCGCACCAAAACAGTTTGCTTTTGTCAACACTCGTCGAAATTTTGCACTGGGAATTCATCGGAAATTCTTGTTGCGTTTAAATAATGGAAGCTGTGCTGGACAAAATTTTTGAATTGGAACGTGGAGTTGAGACAAGATTGAAGGCTCTCTACCTGCTTTTGTAAAATATTGTTCAATAAACAAAACGTCAAAATTTTGAAGTGTAGAGTCGGGAGTGCCATCATTGAATCCACAGCCGAATCAGGTGGAAGAATTTAAAGACCTACGGAAAATTGAAAACAAGCAGCGTTAATTGATGAGAATGTTTTAAGCAGGCCTTGTTCAATTTGCCGAAAAGTGATTATTGGAAGGGAAAGTTACAGCAGAAACTACATTTCTTTCCTCCTTGCCATGGCATTAAAAACTAGACTTCAACAATTTCTTTCCCCGTTTTTTCATCCAAACTGATTGCAATAATTAATTATTTAACTGAATTAGGAAAATAGAACAGAAAATAGTTTACCGGGTAAATGCAAATGATCTGCCCGACTATTTTGAATTAACAGCTTTCGTGAACCCGTCGTATATACATAAAAGTGAACCAAAACACCTTAGACCGAAAGCAAAAATACACCAAGTAAAAAGTATGCAGCGTTGTGATACTAATGTAAGATTAAAAAGAGGCACTCGAGGAAATTAAAAATTAGCATTACCTGTCTATGTAAAGCAATCACCTTTCCCTTGATTAGTCGTCAAAAGCGTTACAACTTTGAGTTTGAATAGAAACATCATAAAGATCATTTTGCTCCATACACATCTTCCTGCTAAAAGGACTGAATGCTGTAAGAATATCTTATTGAGTAATTTAAACGTAGAGGGTTTGTTTTGTTTTCGTTCTGTCCTTCAATTTTTTTCTTCACGATTTTGTTTATTTTACCAATTTCAAAAAGGTTTAATTCTTGTTTACCGGACTCTTACCACGACAAAATACTCTCTAGCAACGAAAGAATTTCTAATATCTAAATGACATTTGTAATTGCGATATTTTCAAATTATAAGGGTTAAAAACCTATTTTGGACTATTTCCCTGTAGTCCATTCGGCAAATTCTAAATGTTAATGAAGCAAATTAATATTTGCAAAGAATTCACTTACCTTCTTACTTTTGTACTCAGCTAGTTTAGAACGAAGACATGTAATTTTCTTTTCGCAGTTGGTAGCGCCTTTAGGCTTGAGGTAACCTTGGTTACATGATAAAAAAGTTTAATTGACATACGTATTTTCTTTGTTCCTTTTCATCCCTTAATAAATCAATGTGTTATCTTCGTAGACTGTTACTATTCTGAAGCACGTTAAGCTATTGTGTAGGAAAATAAATTCATTTTGAAAACTGGCAGTACTACATTAAGAAAAACATTTAGAATTTATTTTCAAATCACATCATCATTTTCAAATATTAGCTGTTTCCAACACATAAAAAATATTTATATGACTTCACAGTCATATAAATATTATACATGAGACAGCTCGTGAACTCAGCTTGCCTTTCTGATAAATACAAAGGGCTGAAACACCTTTCATGACTACTAACTCGGTGGCTTATCCTTTATCTTCGTTTCTTTTTGATGTATTATTACTCGTATTCTGTAGATGCAACATACTACATTTAATATATTATCGCCAAACAGAGATCTTTGTTAAATTAGTCAAAACTGCTCTAGTCCAATCAAATAACAGTGGAACCTCGATTTAATGAACCTCTATATCACGAAGTCCTCGGTATATCGAACGATACTCTTCAGCCCAGCCAAAGTTATAGTAAAATGTATGAGAAACAACCTCGATATAACAAAATCCTACTTATAACGAACACAATCCAGAAGCCCAAACGTATAATATACCCCGATATAACGAACAAATGTCAACACGTGACAAAAAACAAATACGAGCTGTAGCTGTAGCTTCTTATAGACATTAAAGCACAAATAAATACAAATGTCATCTACAGTAATCGTTTCGATCCCAAAATGCTGGGTAACGCGACGTCACTCCACGAAAAAAATAATGATCAAAAATAAAAAATAAAATTATCAACCAGCCCTTGATATAACGAACAATCTGGTTATTTTTCCGCAAATTAGTTAAATCGAGGTTTTCGATGTAACCACAGGCAGCCCAAGCTCCAGCTGTGAGATGATCATCTTGCGAAATAAGAGTCATGGCGAGTTTTTAATGGAATATTTACGACCATTGTTAGGAATAAAAAAATACAGTCAAATTCTCAATAAAAAATACCTCACCCTACTTCCACAGTGCATCGCTTGTTATCTGACCACTTACTATGTTGAAAAGAACTCATTTTGGCGAATTATCTATTTCTAGGTTTACTACGTACATAATAAGAGCTTGTGAGCCGGTTGTGATGTAACGAACCCTTGATATAAGTCCCTTGGCACATCGTGAAATCGAGGTTCCACTACATAAACATCATTTATAATAAGTTTTGTCGCATAATACTGAGAGGAGAAAAGTCATACAACTTAT